AAACACATCAAATTAACATAAATCAACACATTTAATATCCCAAATTCACGAAATAAAAGTAAAATATGAGGCGATATACATAGAAATATGTATGCTTTAAGCTAAACATCAAGGCATGAGGCCACATATTAGGACCCAGCAGTTATGGAAGTGTTGGATCAAAATAGGCTGATCAATTTGCCCTTACAGATAATCAAGTACATGGCAAGAACAACTGATCAAGAAAGAGGCACGCATGGTCGGCCGTATGGGTTCTTTTTTACTAGGGTGTTTGAGAACTTTATGGTCCCTCTGAGAGGACATATGAAAGGTACTAAAAAAGCTATATTTAATGACAAAGGCTTAAGGGAATGTGACTTGCATTTCAAGACAACCGAGCATGAAGAAAAAAACATGGTCACAAACCTATTAGAGGAATTGGATGCTGCCAATGAGGAGAAAGAGAGCTGAAAGATGAAATTACTTCCTTGAAAGAGGATAACATGAAGCTAAAGAAAAAGATGAAGCAAGAGTAGGTTGTGTTAGGACCGAAAAAAGCAGGTGTCATGCGAAAGCTAGCAAAGCAGACTTGAACGACGATAAGTCCGATAAAAAAAGAGAAATCTACCAAAAGAGACACAAATATTTAACGTGGTTTGGTCAACTGACCTACGTCCACAGCGGAAATAAGCAATCCACTATATAAAAAGAGAGTACAAAATATCGAGAGAACAACCTCACGAAGAGGAAAATACAAGTGACTCACTAACACTTGTCCCGTAAAGTTCTCCCCCTAAACACGACTCTCAAACCCCTTATGGATACATTGTGCATGCTGCTGAATGAGAAGGACGGATCTTCAATTTATCCAAACCTTTTCCTACAAGAAAAAGGACTAGCCAAGTATAGGAGAATTATAATTTCCTTCTACAAAAAGGAAAACCCAATTAAGGTAATTATATTGCCCTTTCCTTCAACAAATAGGAAAACCAAATATGGTAAGAAAATTATGGCAAACACCTAACAATTCTCCCTCTTGGCCGGAATTTTCTGACAAAATAAACTTGATCCACCTTTTTCACATAGCCTTCAACAGGTCGCATCTCCAAATCTCCTCCACAAAGTTTGTCTCAACGTGCGTAGCACACCGGTCAAATTTCTCAGACAAAAATCACGATTATCGTCAAATATGTTGCGCCTAGAAATGAACCCACCAAAATGAACCTGTCTTGAACCTCGCTCTGATACCACTTGTTAGGATCGAAAAAATCAGGTGTCATGCGGAAGCTAGCAAAGTAGACTTGAACGACGATAAGTCCGACAACAAAAGAGAAATCTACCAAAAGAGATACAAATATTTAACGTGGTTCGGTCAACTGACCTACGTCCATAGCGGAGATGAGCAATCCACTATATAAAAAGAGAGTACAAAATATCGAGAGAACAACCTCACGAAGAGGAAAATACAAGTGACTCACTAACACTTGTCCCATAAAGTTCTCCCCCTAAACACGACTCTCAAACCCCCTATGGCTACATTATGGATGTTGCTGAATGAGAAAGACGGATCTTTAATTTATAGAATCCAAACCTTTTTTATAAGAAAAAGGACTAGCCAAGTATAAGAGAATTATAATTTCCTTCTACAAAAAGGAAAACTCAATTAAGATAATTATATTGCTCTTTCATTCAACAAATAGGAAAACCAAATATGATAAGAAAATTATGGCGCACCTAACAGGTTACTGTTGCTGCTTCGTCCCTTTGACAATCTTCTGGTGCTTATTCATGCTCTTCCAGCAAAAAACCTGGTCCTTAATCCTTAATCCTCTTAGGTCTCCAGTCTAGTCCTACTCAGCCCCTAGTCATGTACCTTTTATGAGTAGATTCTGAATGTATATATTTGTTTTTTTTAATTCCTGCGTCTTTTGGTTATGGCCTTTTGGGCATAATTTGGTACATCTTTTAATCAATATAGTTTCTGCATTTGGGCTTAATTTCTCTCTTTAAATTTAGTAATTTTATTCGATTAAATGTGCTCTTGAGATTATGTGCATGTTAGTGTATCCCTAATGACCATGAGTTGATAATGATTAATTCTTACTTTTGACTCTACTGATTCTTTATTTTTTTTATGATGCTAAAAGGAAAAAGTTAATGATGTGTACATATGTTGATCAGTAAACATGGTCCTTAAGCACTTGGACCTAGTTCTTAAGCACTTGGACTAATAAATAACCGAATCAGTGAGTTTGTCTTATCTGTTTGCAGGATAAAATATGTATCATGTCTATCCATCTATAGGGTTGTAATGAATAAAATGTGAGTCCTTTACACCTATGCAAACATGGACAAACTTGAAAGAGAGTGCTGATAGTAGTGAAATTGATTCTTATTCTAAATATTGAAGAAAAATTGTTCAAATTGTTGGGTGATTGGCTCATGGATTTGTCATCATCAAAAAGGAAAAAAAAATTGAACTGAGCACGTGTGCATTTTGATGATTAACAAATAAGATTAATTGTGTTGAAAGAGCTAGGTTTTATGGACATGTTACCTTGCTATTGGACTAGTGTATAGATATCTTATGTTGATGTTGAAGCCACCAGGTTCGTAGCAGACTAGTGCAGAACGCTGATCGGACGCGAAATAGACAAATACGTATGCAACTTTTATTCCTTAGGAAAACTTGCTCGCGTGCTACAAGGACAACATTAGCTAGAGGAATTCATGTTCGAAAAGGATTAAACAATTTTAGAAATACTAGCATTGAAGGAAAAGGTTGAGGAGTTGGAAACAAATAAGGAAACCAAATCAAAGTTGGAGAGGTTTTCCTTAATCGAAATATACTAGGTTTTGGAGCATTAATTGGAGAAGATTTTCGATCAACCTTACAACGATATAAAGAGACCTTCTACTGTCATTCAAGAATTAATGCTATTCGAACTATTCACAAAATTTTTATTGGAAATAGCAATCTCGGCAAGAAGGTGCTCTTGGAGATTCAAGCTGCATGACTAAAGAACCTGCTCCGGAAGACAAAGCTATAGCAGTACTTAGTTGTTTAGGTTGAGTTAATTGTCCAAAATTTTAACCTATTTGCTTTTGAGAAGTGTAATTAGAGGTTAATGCAGAAACTTTGAATTTTTATATTCACTTCCTAGATTAGAGTTAGTTTGAAAAGGGGTAGCTACAATTGAGTAATTTTAGGGGAAGAATACTAGAGTTAGTTTCCTTGGCTATAGAGTTGTAACCTAAAAACTGCTCATTGATGTAAGTGAAGTGTTAAGGTAAATTCTTCGAGGGTATGCTTTAGCTTCTACTCCCTTGAGCAAGGAGGTTTTCCACAGTAAAATAGCTGTGTTATTTAATGTTCGCACTTTACCTTGTGTTTGTGTCTGTTAGTTTAGATCAAAGAACCAGGTACCTTGAAAATGCAAAAATCGGACAAGACACAGTTCAATCCCTTCTTTTGTGTAAGTGGACTCTAAGATAACAGTAATTCAGAATGGCAGCCATTGTGCCGATGAACCACAGCCTGTTTACATGGGCAGTCAATGGTTATGGAAATTTGATGACGGACACAAGGATAATGACTGTAATTACCATGTTGGGCAAGAAACCGAAGCTGCAAGTTCTAATAGACCTGGAAAACTGAACTGAGCCTCTAGTTGCTTGCCTGTATCATCTTCAATTTTTGCAAAAGATACTTGTCCTTTAATTTTAATTTTTCGGTATCCAGGGATTCAGTTTCTCAACATTTTCATGTAGCTTTAACATACAATCTAAAGTAGTTCAATAAATAAAGAGAACGTATTCAGAAAGAATGATCCACGGAGAAAGTAAGATTCTCATTCTGTTCCCCAATTCCTTTGAGCTTGTTTTATTCCAGGCAAAGCTGGTATACAGTAATACCTGTTTCATTAATGAATCCTGCTAACCTTCTAAAACCACTAACTATATTCCAAGGAAGCAGCAAGAACGCAACTTTTTTTTTTTGGCACTTAACCTAATTCATCCTAATAGACAATCAGGTGAAGGGCTGTCAGATGTTACCCCTTCAATGAATGGTCTTTGTCACTATTAATAGAAATATTTTATCATGTGTTCAAGTGCTTAAAATAAAATATACTGATAAGTTTAAGGGAGGAATCATATGAGACGCCTTTATCCCCAATATGTAGGAATTCTGGGGAAGGGGAAAAACAAAAAATTTGGCAACTTTTATATTTGTGTGTGTATGCATACATAGACATTATGTGTGTATATATACATATGGAGATTTAATTGGATGCAGTCCATACGAAAGCTCTCAAGAGATACATGCATGTATTCCACACTTAGTGCCACGTGGGATTTTCTTATCTTTTAATAGATACATGCATGCATGTGTTGTCTTGACGGATTGTTTGCTAAAAGTTGCAGAAGTTTTAGGCAGCCAATTTAACTGCTTTGAAGTTTACGGGTTAAAAAATTTTAGTTTTTTTTTTTAAGTCATCCAACTCTAAATCAAAAATTCATATTATACTTAAATGATTTTTTGAGAAAAATAAATTTGAACCAAAGCTACGTTTAGGCCGCATTTGATATTCATGTCTGATTATAGTCTCTTTTTGGTAGTATCTACTCCCTCCGTTTCAATTTATGTGAACTCATTTGACTGGGCACGGAGTTTAAGAAAATAGAGAAGATTTTTGAACTTGTGGTGTAAAATGAAGCACATATATTTTGTGTGGCTATAAATCATTGCATAAAGGTAAATTGTTTCCAAATAGGGAAAAAGGTCATTCTTTTTTGCACGAACTAAAAAGGAAATACGTTCACATAAATTGAAACGGATGGAGTATTTGTTTGGAAGCTCCTATATAGATTCTCATTAGAGAGCTTTGAAAATACAAGGGACATTAAAATAATAGTACTCCCAGATGGTTACATCATGCTGTCATGTCAGCTTTCTGTATAAACCAGTTCTTTTATTCAGAAATATCCCCAACCTTTGGACGTCTCTTCTCTCATAGTATATAAAAATAAAACCACTGTAACATTTTGACAAAAAACTCGTAATCTTTAATTGGGGCCAAGAGTTCACTCACAAGAGGAGAAGACATGGGTCAGTCATCTCAAGATAAGGGGCCGCCGAATGAACCTTTGCTAGAATCCGAACCGCCAACGTTGGCGGCGGCGAAAATAAGCTCTGAACTTGAAGAAATCCTGTCCGACACAAGCTTGTCACATCTTCAGCGGTTTGGACGGGCATCCGTCGTAGAGCTGAGAAATCTCTTCCGTCTAGCAGCTCCTGCTATCATTGTTTACTTACTTAACAACATCACTTCCATGTCTACTCAGATCTTCTGTGGCCATCTTGGCAATCTTGAACTTGCTGCTGCTTCCCTTGGTAATAGTGGCATTCAACTTTTGGCTTATGGAGTCATGGTACGTAATTTTGTTAATTCACCTCAAAAAGATTAATTCTCTTTAATTACTGCTCTTTTAATTTACTTGTACGTATAATTACAACTAGGGTGGCAAAAAGGTTAAAAGAAAATATTTAACCGCCCATATTATTCACAAAAAAAATGGGTTGAATAATGAACTTTTTAAAAATAGATCAAATATAGATAAGAATTATTATCCATTTAGAAAATGGATAACCAATGGGTCTAACTTTTACATGTGTAAAGCCTCAAATTGGAGATTCATCAAGTTAGGGAGACTAAAAATTCTCCCAAAAGTGATCATATACAAGAAGTTATGGATAATATGATTACTCAGAGGCGGATCCAGGATTTAAATCTTATGGGTTCAACTTTTAAAGTTTTTACCATTGAACCCATAATATTTTTAAAGTTATGGGTTCATATCTATTATTTTTTTACTCCCTCTATTTCAATTTTTGTGAACCCATTTGACTGGGCACGGAGTTTAAGAAAAGAGAGAAACTTTTGAACTTGTGGTGTAAAATGAAGCACATATATTTTGTGTGGCTATAAATCATTGCATAAAGGTAAATTGTTTTCAAATAGGGAAAGAGGTCATTCTTTTTGGCAAGGACTAAAAAGGAAATAGGTTCAGATAAATTGAAATGGAAAGAGTAATTTTTAATGAATTTTTACACTTAAATTTTTACTCCGCGTCAAAAGTTATGGGTTCAGTTGAACTCGGTGACACTACACTACATCCGCCACTGTGGTTACGCATATTATCCGCCGATTAATCCTTTTTTATCCGTATTATGGGTCGGGTCAGATAAATTATCCGGTTTTTTATTATCCATTTTCAACCCGAACCATATCCGACCCGACTCGCCCGTTTTTTACTCCTACTTACAACAAACAATATTGGAACTGCAGCTGGGAATGGGAAGTGCAGTGGAGACATTATGTGGGCAAGCATATGGAGCTCACAAGTATGAAATGCTAGGGATATATCTCCAAAGATCAACCATTCTTCTTATGCTTACCGGAATACCACTAACAGTGGCCTACTTATTTTCTAAGCCAATCTTGATTTTACTAGGACAATCCAAGAAAGTAGCATCTGCAGCAGCACTATTTGTCTATGGTCTAATTCCCCAAATATTTGCTTATGCTGCCAATTTTCCAATCCAAAAATTCTTACAGGCTCAAAGCATTGTCAATCCTAGTGCATATATAGCAGCTGTGACATTAGTTTTTCACCTTTTCTTAACATGGCTTGTGCTTTATGTATTTGATTGGGGATTGTTTGGAGGAGCTTTGGTTTTGAGTATTTCATGGTGGATAGTTGTGATTGCGCAATTTGTATATATTTTGTGGACTGATCGATGTAAGAAAACATGGAACGGATTTAGCCTTCAAGCATTTTTTGGAATGTGGGATTTCTTCAAGTTGTCTCTTGCTTCAGCCGTGATGTTGTGTCTCGAGACTTGGTACTTTCAAATTTTAATTTTAATTGCTGGTTTGCTTCCAAATCCTGAGGTAGCCTTGGACTCTCTGGCTGTTTGGTAAAACCGTCTACTTCCAAATTCAGTATTTGTACTAGCTCATATTTATTTATTTTTGTTTTCTTAATTAAATTAAACATTCTTGGTTTAATGGTAAATTAATAATTTTGTAACGCAGTACGACAATTCTAGGGTGGGTGTTCATGATATCTGTTGGCTTCAATGCAGCAGCAAGGTTAGTCACTGATATTATATATTCTTCATTTTCAATCATGATAATTGTGCTATATATGAATTGTTTCTACTGTCAAAAGTTTAAAATACAACCGATAATTAGGGATTTCATTAATATAGTTTGATCAATTATCTTTAAAAAAAGATATATCATGCATGCCCATTTTTTGGGTGAATTATCTCCTGTATATAAGACTTTTCAAGAAATTGCTAGTAATACTCTGTATAATATTAATTTTATGCAAATCACACATTTTATATATGCATCATTATTTTAACTGATTTGATTTAGTAATTTTTCAACTTCTTATATAAAATAAAAACAAATTATCCTAAATACTTGATCTGATTGTAGCATATACCTAAATTTATTTCTTAAAAACAGACATAACATTGATTCGATTAATTAGGCCCGATTTCATCAGTTCAGTCGATTTTGAAAGTTCTTTTAACACGCCTACAGGCTATAGCCAGATAATTACTAGACTAGATGCTTTTCTGTTTACCTTTTCTATTTTATCTGGAAAATATATTAATTAGAAAATAGAAAATAAACATAACTCGGGGCGTGATTATTAAAATAGCTCTTAATTTTAGAAGATAAGGTGAAATCGAGAGAATATGAATTTTTTTTTTAAAACCACTAGGTTGTGTGCCTAGGGCTAATTTTTATATATAATAAACAAATTACAACAAAGGAGGGGGACATAAACCTGACCTCTAATGATATGGTATAAGGGCATCTGGTCATGTAAACATAAAGATCAGAAAGAGCATGAGAGCTATGTTGTGTTTGACCTATGATGAGGATCCAATTGACTATCAAACTATGATAGTCAACTAGATATGCAAAACTAGGATGAAGTTAACCTAGGTCAACTATACATGATTGCACAAGTAAACCTATTTCTACCCAAAAATTGAGTTGGAAGATTATCTTCCATATACAAACAATTCTACATCTAAGACAAGTGTAGAAGTTCCCTGTAGAAGGTGGCAAAATACATGTGATGTTGGATGGATCTATCTCCAGCCTTGCTTTGACATTGAGATCAAAGAAAGCTAAGGTGAAGATAGTTAACAAAAAGAGGGCATAGTTTGAGCATATAGTATGTTGCTTCTTGCTGCTGACAGTAGAGAGTGAACATTGGCTGCAATATCTGGTAAGTGTGTAGGGCAAGGTGTTTAGGTCTGGGCCCCAGGTGATTGTGATGCAAGTTTGATGAAACTGTTGTTGAAATTATTGTTGTTGGCTTATAGAGTGGGTGAGATTTGTGGCAATCTGTGCCTTTCCAGCAGAATGAGCACCAAAGGTGCTAATACCACTAACTATAAGGGCATAAATTGTTCAAGCCTGCACCATGTACCTGCAAAGCATAGCAAACAAGTGAGAGAAGGGGAGCTCAATTTCCAGGTTCTTGTGTGTACTGGATATGAGTCTGGGGGTAGGGGAATTGTGACCCCTGATTGATGAAGAAGAACTGATTGCAGGTTCTTGTGTTGACTGCAATTAGTGAATTTGTTATTTCTGGTGGAGGTGGAATGTGCATGGAGTTGTTGGGCATAGTGACATTCTTGAGAGTAAGGCTGCTCAACTAATTGCCCAGCTGTTTGGTTATATATGAATGGAATGCATCAGTCACAGCTTGCAGTACTGGAGTCTGCAGCTATAGCTGTTGATTTCCTATTGATAGTAGTGGGGAATTGGTTGAGCATCTGAAGATTGATGTTGTTGCTTTGATGTTCCTTAACTGCCAATTGATATATCTCCAAGAGACTGAGCACCATTGGTGCTAATACCACTCCTAGGAGACGTATCAATCGACTGACTAGACCTACAAAAGAATAAACAGAGTTAGGAAACATTGTGACATTTCTGCCCTGATTTCTTTGTCTGTTGTGATCAGGGTGTTTTTTGTTGTTTGCATTCAGGTTCTTGTGTAGACTGAGGCAAGGTGGGTGATAATGGATGGATATGGGCTGACATCTGTGTGTGTATGGTTGATTATGTGGGTGCTTCTGTGTGTTTTTGTGTTCTGGTATGGAATGGGGAGTGAAAAGGTGATGGATCTGGGGATATATGTAGTTGGCTATGTATGTTTGGATTGTTTGGAGGTTTAGAGTGTAGGGTGTAATCAGTTGGGAGTTCCTGTGGTTGTTGGGACTTGCATCAATTCGCAGGTTTACTACAGAACTGAGCAATGGCCCATGAGTACCTGTAAAATAGAAGCCAACATTAGAAAAATCAGCTTCAGTGATCTCCTCCAGTTGGATTGGATCCTTGTGACTGTTTGGTTGCCTTTTGGTTGAGTGAATAGCTAGAATCATTTGGACATTTAGATTAGCTCCCCTAGCTTCTTTTTTTGTCATCCATAACCATGAGAAGAAGTAGATGTCATGTTTGAAGGAACTTTGATTTTATTGGTAGTTTTGTGTCTGAAGGATGTGGTACTCCATTGATCTTGGACTATTTGACCTCTGATGTGGGATGGTAGTGAGGCAGCATTGGTGAAATGAGCTGGTAAAGTGAGTTTATGACTGAATTTTGAAAGGGAATCAGCCGGGTAATTTGCTTCTCTATAAACATGAGTAACTTTGAAATCCTCAAAGAGAGAGCATAGGAGCCTGAGTTGAGAGATCTTCTCACTTAAAGCCCATGGAGGGTCATTTTCCTCTGTCAACCAATTGACTAGGAGTGCAGAATCTGCTTCCAAATGAATTCCTGGAAATCCATTACCTAAACACCACTGAACTCTTATTCTTGCTGCTTCAGTTTCAGCATAATTGTTGGTACCATCCCCCAATGAAATGGCCATTGCATGAATGAAATGACCATTTTGGTTCCTGATGATGACACCCTCTCCAATCTTACTAGGATTTGTCATTGCACTTCCATCTGAATTGATCTTGACAAATCCATTATCTGGCTTGTTCTATGTGACTTGGGTTATGGTAATGTGGTGCTGAAGTTTTTCAATAAATGAGTAAAGTTCTCCACATTAAAAGGCCATTGGATGTCTGGGTAGTTGGATCTTAGGAGTAGGTTTATATCTGAATTGACTGAGTAGAGGACCCTAGCAAGGGAAGACTTTTTGGCCCCATACTTGGCACTGCATCTGTTCTTTCAAATATTCCAGCAAATGATGATGGGAAGAGTATCTAGGATGAGTTTTTGCACAGTATTATCAGTTTTCAGCATCCACCATTTTAGAAGAAGCAACCTCAGAGGCATGTTTGGATGCCTACATAGCCACCATATTTCTTCCATATAATTCTTGCAAAGTTCCCAGAGTTGAAAAGGTGATTCACTGTTTCCAAGGCATGCATGGAGCAACAAACACACCTGGTGGTTGTTGGATTACTGAAAATTTGCACTCTATCATCAGTTGGGAGTTTGTTTCTAATTGCTCTCCACAAGCAGAAAGACCACTTAAATGGAACTTTACTATGCCATATCTTCTTGTTGGTGAAGTTGGGTGATTTTTTCTTCCTGATAAGGTCCCATACAGAGGCAGATGTAAATTTACCTTTGACAGTAGGAGTCCAGATAGGCTTATCAAGCAAATAAGGGTTGAAATGAATGGTTGTTTGCATGATTTCTGTGATTTTGTTAGTTGGAACATGCTCATTGAGCTTTAGGAGATCCCAGTGGCCTTCAATACAGAAGTTGGACACTAATACGTTTTTAGGTCTGCCCCCTTCTGTTCTGTTGTGTGCCAAAGGCCCAGAACCAAGCCAATTGTCCCACCAAAAACTACATTTCCCATTGTGAAGTCTCCAATGAATTACTGTTTTTGCTTCCTTCTTATTGAGCATCAGTCTTTTCCATGCTTGAGATTGCCCTGGGTACCATTTCTTGGATATGGAATTGGATCTTTGACAATATTTTGCCTTCAAAAATGAACTCCAAAGAGAGTTTGTTGTTCTGAAATGCCACTATTGCTTGAGCTCCATGGCTTTACATTAGTCTTGGATGGTTCTGAAACCTACCCCACCTTCACTGGTAGGGTAGGATAGCTTAGCCCATGATTCCCAGTGGTATTTTTGGCTGTCCTTATACATTACCCAGAAAAAATTAGCTATCAGCTTTTCAATTTGATTCATGACAGTCTTTGGAGGAGAGATTGCTGAAAGGAGATGGATTGGTAATGATTGAAGAATATACTTGATTAGTATTGCTCTGCCACCATAGGATAGCATCTTGCCTTGCCACCCTTTAATTCTTCCCACCACCTTGGAAATGAGACTATTGAAATGCATAATTTTACTCCTTCCAATATACAGAGGGCAACCCAGGTATGTGAGTGGAGAGTCATTTCTGTTAAAACCTATTACTTCTTGAATTCTTCTGACAACACTTGGTAGAGCACAGTTAGCATTCATGAAGTGGCTCTTTTTTCTATTTATGAGTTGGCCTGTTGTTTTTTCATAATTGGTGAGATCTACATGATTTTCCTTAGGGAGGATCTTCTACCAAAAGTGAAGATGATAATGTCATCTACAAAGCTTAGGTGGTTGATCTGAGGACCTCTCCTCTCCATATAGAAGCCATGAAAAAGCTCATTATGGTTCCGAGTGTTGAGCATTCTTAACAAGAGTTCAACTCCTATGATGAAAAGGGAGGGTGCTAAGGGATCACCCTGTTTAAGACCTCTAGTAGAGTGGAAGAATCCACACCTAATGCCATTGACAATGACTGAATATCAGTTGTTAGACAAGGTTCTCCAGATCATGTCAATGATCATTTCACAAAAACCCATTCTCCTGAGCATAAGGCAGGTGAAGCTCCAACTTGATGACCACATTTGACCCCACATTTGGTTTCTTGATTCCATGGACAATTTCTTGTGCAAGCATAATATTCTCTGAGATGTTCCTGCCTTTTACAAACCCATACTGATTGACAGAAATTATTCTTGGAAGAATGGGACTGTGCCTTGAGCATATAACCTTGGAAATGATTTTGTTGATAAAGTTACTGAGATTGATTGGCCTAAATTCTGTGAGACTGTTGGGGAATTCCACTTTAGGCAGTAAGACAAGGCAAGCATTGGTCATGTATCTGGGCATTGGGATGCCCCTGAAGAAAGACAAAACAACATTGAGGAGGTCTTCCTTAATCACTTCCCAGCATGCCTAAAAGAATTTCCCATTCATGCCATCAGGGCCTGCTGTACTAGAGGGATCCATGGAAAAGACAACTTCCTTGAGTTCTGTCATTGAAGGATCTTTGGTAATATTGTCATTGTCATCATTGGTAATCATGGTTGGAATGATGAAGAGTAAATCTTCCCTGATGATTGAGCCATTGTCAGAGAATAGTTCATGGAAGTACTCACAGGCAGCCTTTCCAATGTTCTCATCACCTTGGATCCATTCCCCTTCCTCATTCTTGATTTTGTGGATGTACAGCTTCCTTCTTCTTCCTCTGATTAGGCTATGAAAATACCTTATTGGCATCCCCTTCCTTGAACTATTGGAGTTGAGTTTTTTGTTTCAATACATCCTACTCCACCTATAAGTGTCTGACATATTGGGCCTTGAGTTCATTGAGATTTTCTTTGTCAATGTCATTGTTTGTATGAGCCCATGTAATCTCTGCATCTTTCACTTTTTGTTCAAATTCTTTGACTTTTTGGAAGATGTCCCCATATTGTTGTCTAGACCACAGACTTAAAGCATGACTCAGGGATTTCATTTTCTGGTGAAATACCCACATAGCATTGCCTCTGACTTCTTTGTTCTAGATTTCAACAACCATAGGCATAAAATTTTTGTTGTCCACCCAGCAATTAAGGAATTTGAAGTACTTTTTGCCACTGTCTTGTCTTGTATGAAGTTCCAAAAGTAATGGATTATGATCAGATCCTGCTGAAGCTAGATAAGAGATTGTGGCAACAGGAAAGGCTTCCGACCATAGATCATTGGCAAGACCACTATCCAATCTTTTCCATACAATAGCACATTACCCCCCCTTCCATTAGACCATGTGACTTTGGAACCATAGAATCCCAGATCCATAACACCACAGTCCTCCATCATGCTCAAAAAGTCAATGCTTTTGGACAGCTGGTATGGAATGCCACCAATCTTTTCTTCAATAGAAGTTATGACATTAAAATATCCAATGACACACCATGGTACACTACATGTGGTTGATTTCTGCCTTAAGGTTTCCCACAGAGGTCTTCTAAGGACTGCTTTGCATATGGCATAAATGACTGTTAGGTGAAACAAGGTGCCATTTTCTACATGCTGCATCTTTAGGGACAGTTGTTGCTCATCATGATCCAGGACTTTGGCAGTGAATTCCTTATCCCAAAAAACCCATATCTAATCATTAGCATTAGAAGCAGCTTAGTCCATTGAGAGTTGGATTTTGAAAAAATTGATATGAGAGTTGTCCAAGAAGGGTTCAAGGACAGCTATAAAGGAGAGTTTGTGAATTTGTTTCAGGAGTTTGAGCCTTTCAATAGCCCCAGAGGTCCCGATGCCTCTTACATTCCAAATGATTGTACTAATCATTGGAAAGAGGGCTCAAGCTTGTGTTTTGGTGGGACACTGCTGCTTCTATTTTTAGCAGCTCTACTTCTGGTGAGACTAGGAAAGATGCTTTTTCTGGCAGACAAAGTGGCATTATCAGCCGTTTTCTGTTTTGATTTCCCATTAACTGCAGCAATCAACAGTTCACAGTGTTGTTCTTCTTCAAGGATTTCTTCACTACAAACATTGTCAACTTCCTTATTCACATCACTTTCATCCTCAGACTCAATTGGTTTGTATTTATCCTGTTGAGGGATGTATCTGTTGAGAGGGCAAGCAAAGGTGAGTTTGTAAGTTTAGGACTTGAGGTTTTCATCTTTGGTGGGGAAGTCTGAATCATTGTCATCTGAGGGTGGTTCTTTGTCATTTAGAAGTGGTTGGGATAGGGATGAATTGGCAATGACTGAGTGCCTGTAAGCAAGAGATGATGCATTAGGGATGGTTTTTTGCCGGGGTGATTGGATACTTAATTCCATGGTATATATATAAAAAAAAATATAAGAGACAGAACATATTTAAGGACACCAATAAACCACGACTACACGTGTATCTTGAAAGGAATAAGACCAAGAAAGTGATAGCAATACCATTAATTAAAATATCAAGACTTACGTTATTGAAATCGGCCAAAATCAGAAAAGACTGCTCCACTACGCATGGAATCAATTCACTCCAGAAATAGAAATGCAAATCAAGCAAGTTGATCTTTGTATAAATATCTCAGCAAAATCATCATCATGACATGTCGAGAAGAAGTTCTGATAACAGTAATTTGATAAGGAATTAGTTAGTATATACTTTCTTAATTTAAATTAATTAGTATATATGATTCTATTCTTTTTTAATTATTCTGCTCCAAAATAAATGACTATATTTTTAAATTTAAAAATAATATAACTTAAACTTCTCATTTTATTATTAATATCAAACTTTTATGATCTCGCAAATGATGTGACATATTTAAGACCACAAATTTTAAAAGTCTTATAATCACACAGATGTTATAACATGCATGTTCAAAATCATATATGACATGCTTAGAAATGTAGGAAGTGGTTTTTATTATCTGTATTCGAAAATATAATTTTTGCAAAATAAAATGAAACCAGAAACCAAAGACAGAAACAGAATAAAATGAATAACATTTCGAGCCCAAAAAAAAATTATGTTTCCTTAAGGAATTTTATCTCCTCACTGTTGTCCAAGGTTGTTACAGAACTTCGTCAACGACAACGACGCAACGCGAGGCACCACTTCTTCTTAACACTCAAAGAGCTAGATGATGTGCTTCTCTATATAAACACAAAAATTTTCTTTTCTTCTTCCGATGAGGAACAAAGTGTATTAGTAAAGGAAACTATTTCAAACTTTTCGTTTCCCTCCTAATCTTTTCCCTCCATTTCTCATTCACACCTCTGATCTAATTAGATTAAAAACCCCAAAAACCTGTATCATTAAGATTTACATGTAATTATTGTACAAATATCTTGATTGAACGAATATAATTTTTGCAATGTCAGTGTACAAAATTTAAGTTCATTTAAAAATGGCAGTGTGAGAGTGAGCAATGAGCTAGGAGCTGGACATCCAAAATCAGCAGCATTTTCTGTTGTGGTGGTGACATTGAGTTCCTTTATCATTTCTGTAATATTTGCAATTCTGGTGTTATTACTGCGTCATGTGATGAGCTATGCCTTCACGAGCGGAGAAACCATAGCAGAAGCAGCCTCAGATCTTGCTCCGCTCTTGGCTCTATCTCTCATACTCAATGGTATTCAACCTGTTTTATCTGGTAAGTTTTCCCATCAAAGTTGCGTTGACATTTTCTTTTCTCTTCGGGTTCCCATTTTTAAACTTTCTAAGGAGTAAAGTTGAATGCTTTTTAATCTTTTCTATTTTATCAAGAATTGGATACATCTCCTCAGTGTTCTTTTGGACGTAATGACAAATTATAGATATCGTTTACAGACATGAACGTTACTATACATGTTGGCGTAAGAAATTTTGATGGACTGAATCCACATAAAAGCAACTGATTAGATCAGCCAAAAATATACATATTAAAATGATTTTCACTCTAGGCTTCTAGAGTCCGAGGTGTATCTAGACTTGTTACACTGGGTATATTTGAACCAAGTACTTTCACGTAAAATAAATTTATATGTAAAAGTTTATTAAAATAATACCAAATAATAAATATAAACTTATAAGAATTTTAAAGATTAAATCCATACGGTTTAATTCCTGAATTTACTTCTGTCTAGGGTAACCTGACATGCTATAGAATATTCGATTGTTGAACGTAGATAGATGTTTGCGAATTGTTCTTCACAATATGATATCCTAGTATTCTGATGAACCTATCTATTTTGTTGTTTAAGAAATCTTCAATATATGCTTTGCGTGTTCTTCGAAATGATTTAATATTATTTTTCTAGTTTTATTAGGGCTCGTCAAAAATTATTTCATTGACTAAATCTTTTTGATTCCATTTATTCTATATCCTGAATAATACAACTTCGCAATTAGTAGCTCTTTTTCACACTTCTTAATTGAAGTTCAATACTTGCTTATTCAGTAGGAATTAATCTTTTGCATTTCTATCTATCTCACCTCATCTTTACAAGTTATCTCACCTTAAAAGCCAAGAAATTGGAAAGAGGGGAAAACTCTTAAATCTTCCAAGTGGTAAAGAAGAAGAGAAAGAACAAAAAAAAAAATCACTACAAAAAGAATGGAATTAGCTACGAACGACGTTGCTAATCTGTCGCTAAAACGCTCGTAGCTAGCAGAATTTCTTGATAATCCGTTGCTAATCCGTTGCTAAATGAGATTAGCGACGAATTTTTCTATTTAGCTACATAATTTGTCCATCGCTAAAACCTGATTTTTTTAGTAGTGAATAATTCAAGCCTTTGTTTCTAACCTAATGTTTCTTTGAGGAAATGATCTCCTGTGACTAGTTATATTTTAAGTAGCGAAAGTAATATTATATATAAAGATATCGTATATTTTAATTATCAATTTTCTATGTTAATTATTTGTTTACCAATCTCCTTTAAAACTGGTTATAATTAAAAGAGCATTTATAATGGATCATAAAACTGATCTCCCCTTTGGTTTTTTAGGAAGAGAAGTTCAATCAGAAGATGTATGTGATTTTTGTTTAATTAATTGATTGAATTATCATGGAGTATTTGTTCTTTAGCAAATGATATGATCACCAACCTAACAATTTGTCGCTCTCAGGCATCATTAATTAAAGTTCGACAAATATTAATGTATGGTTCTTAATTAATTAATTAATATATGAAATTTTTTGAAGGGGTTGCTGTTGGGTGTGGATGGCAAGCTTTTGTGGCCTACGTTAACGTGGGATGCTACTACGTTGTTGGCATTCCATTGGGTGTTATTCTCGGTTTTAACTTCAAGCTCGAAGCTAAGGTATATTCTCTTTACCAATACCTTCACAATTTTATATATTTAAGTTAAAATAAAAATATTTATTATGTGAATATTATTCCAATCACCATGACAACTAAAAAAAGACAGAGTTACATAAGTAATTTTTTTTTTCTCTTTACGATGGAGTAATATTAAGCATGAGGAATAATGTAAAATATTATTTTTAATTTGAAATACTTTTGTTCTTAATTATGATCGACCGACTGATGTTAATATTGTTTTGCCGAAATGCGAAGGGAATATGGCTGGGGATGTTAGGAGGAACAGCTATGCAGACCATCATCTTACTGTGGGTGACTTTTCGAACCAATTGGGAGCAAGAGGTATGTTTTAGAATTTGATTACTTGTTTTGTTATTTAAAGAAAAAAAAAAACGTTTGCTTGAGCAGTTTTTTGAGGAAAAAAAAAGTTAAACTTTTTATTGAAGATTTCTAACTCAGTTTTTCAAATACTTTCAAAAACGATTTTTTTTTTTTTTTTTTGGAGCTTTTGAAAGATTTGAAAAAACTGAATTTGCAAAAAATGGGTCAAACAAACACTTATGTCCCTCTTCACTTAAAATTAATTTCCAAAAACTACTTTCTAAAACCTAGTGTTCAAAAAACTTGTACTCTACTAGTAATTTTCGATCATGCAATATAATTAAAATCTGACCCTTGATCAACCGTGGCAAGTTAAATTACCAATGTATATTATAAGCATAATCAAATGTTCCAATAGAACTTTAGCTTTTGATGATTTACGACAACGACATACCCACTATTATTCCACACCGTGAGGTCTGGAAAGGGTAGTGTGTACGCAGACCTTACCCCTACCTTGTGAGGATAGAGAGGTTGTTTCCAATAGACCTTCGGCTCAGGAAAGCATAAGCGCCACATTAATAAAAATATAGACAAGAAGGGACAACACCAAAGCATCGGAAGCGAATCTCCATTTCATCCATCCTGTCCCAATACGATGTGTGACATATTCATTAATCTCCCCATCCCCCTGAATAATAGACCCAAGGTACTTAAAACTTCTTCTCCTAGGGATGACCTGCGAGTCCGGCCTCACCTTCCCTTCCCCTCCTTGAGTCTCACCACTGAACTTACACTTCAAGTATTCTGTCTTGGTCATGCTCACCTTGAAACCTTTAGTCTCCAGGGTCTGTCTCCATACCTCTAACTGCGCAGTCACACCGCTTCGCATCTCATCAATCAATACAATATCATCTGCAAATAGCATGTAACACGGCACCTCTCCTTGGATATGGTGTGTCAGTACGTCCATCAATAGGGAAAATAAAAAAGGGCTGAGTGCCGACCCTTGATGCAACTCCATCATGGCCGGAAAATGGTCTGAGTCCCCACCTATCGTCCTCACTCGGATCTTTTCTCCATCATACATGTCCTTAATCGCCCTAACATAAGCAACAGCCAACAGGTATACCTCTAGCATCCAAACATCTCCACAAAACCTCCCTCAGAACTTTATCGTACGCCTTTTCTAAGTCGATGAATACCATATGCAAGTCTTTCTTCCTCTCCCTATACTACTCCATCAATCTTCAAATAAGGTAGATGGCTTCTATAGTCAAACGCCTCGGCATATACCCGAACTGGTTCTTGAAAATAGACACACTCCTCCTCACCCTTAGCTCTACTACTCTTTCCCCCACTTTCATAGTATGGCTAAGAAACTTGATGCCTCGATAGTTATAGCAATTTTGGATATCACCCTTGTTCTTGTATACAGGAACCGTTGTGCTCCACCTGCACTCTTTGGGCATCTTCTTTGTTCTAAACATGACATTAAATAACCTAGTGAGCCACTCCAAGCCTGCCTTACCCGCATTCTTGAAAAACTCTACCGGAATTTTATCCTGCCCGGTCGCTTTCTCCCTGTTCATTTTACGCATAGTCCCCTCAACCTCATCAGCTCTAATCTGCCTACAATACCCAAAGTTACAACGACTCCCGGAGAGTTCCAAATCACCCAGTACAATGCTCTTGTCCCCTTTCTCGTTCAGAAGACTATGGAAGTAGGTCTGCCATCTCCGATGAATAAGTCCCGCATCCAACAAAACTCTACCTTCTCTGTCCTTGATGCACTTCACTGAAATTTAATGTTCGAGCTAGTGGAAGTGTTTTCCTGTGATTATATAGAGAACATGTTTGACGATGAATATGTTGTTTGTTCACTTTGATAAGCTAATTAAGCTCTCTTTTTTACTTGTGTTTTACAGGTGGAAAAAGCAAAGAGCCGATTAAATATGTGGCAAGACCAGAGTAAAAAGCCATTGTTGAATGATTGAGAAGCAACAGCCGGAAAATTAGCTAATTCAGTTTGACCAATGACAAAATGTCATCCCTTATTTCACTGTCTTAATTTTCGTACTTTTCATCTCTAGGCACATTAACCGTTGGAAAATTGTTAAAGAAAATGGGGTATGGATATATAATATATTTTAGCCATTCCACATGCTTCATTTTTTTAGGCAACAGAGAGGGGGTCTTAGATTGGTGGAAAAAAAAGGAGGGGCTCTTAGATGCGGAAATTGCAAAGTTAAGAACAGATTGCCCACAAAGTTAAAAGTGTGTAGAAAATTTAGAAGGAGGGAGAAGTTGTGTGGGGG